AGAAAGAAAGAAAGAAAGAAAGAAAGAAAGAAAGAAAGAAAGAAAGAAAGAATTATTATCTTGCACCTCACTCCTCCCCCAAAGTTCCCTTTTCAGATCGTGAGATATGAGGTGCAAGGTTGGGGTGTGTGTGTGTGTGTGTGTGTGTGTGTGTGTGTGTGGTCTGGTAGGACATGAGGGTGCTGGGAACATCTTTAAAGGTCATGAGGGCTTGGGCATGAAGAGATGTGTGCTGTCTGTCCATACCCAGGAAAAGAAGTAGGGCTTCAAACCTTTGCCTCTCTTGGCCTCCGAGCTACATTCTGTCTTGATAGCATCTGCGTTGACAGAAGCCTGGTTGTGAAGCTGAGAGGGCTCTAAAGAAAGCCCCATTTGACAGATGGGAAAACTGAGGGCAAGGCAGAGGCGGTCCTAGAACTACAGGGTAGACCTTCCGATGGCTGTGCTCTGTTGGACACTTCCTTTAGGTCTGATTCCTGAGCCTTGAGAAAACAGGAGAGTCTGTCCTTATGGCCCCCGCCTCTCCTCCTTTTTCTTGGGGATGGAGACCAAATTCCTTAGTTTCTGGCCAAGCCCCCACCCTCAGCCTTCTTCCTCATCGGGTAACGTCCTCTGCCATCCTGTGCACACCACTTCCTACCTGGCCCTTACCCACACTTGCCTGGCCTTACCCTAGCTACCTCAGCCTCTCTGACAACAGGCGTTTCCTCTGCCCTAACCCAGGATTCACACCCAAAGCCCCTCCCCAGAGAAACTTTCCACTTCCTCTGTGAAACTCCCTCCAGGATGGAGGCGGTCCTCCACGCTCAAGAGCTTCTCGGGCCACTCTGAAGATGACTGTGTTTCCTGAGCTGGGGGGTAGCTTGGTAGAGTACTTCCCTACAGGCCCCAAGACTTGGTTTTCATGGCCAACAGCTATAAATCCAGGTGTGGCGGTGCACTCCTATAATCCCAGCACTCTGGAGGAGTAGAGGTTTAAGATCATCCTTGGCTCCAGAGTGAGTTTGAGACATAAGATGCATCAACAGATAACAGACAACAAAAGATGGTGCCTTCTTCTGTGATCTGGTCTAGAATTTGTCACCCAGCAGAGGGCACAACATAGGACCAATAGATGTCTGGGACCAGTGAAAGAAAGAGTGAAGGTTGAGGTGTCTGGTTAACACTGCTGAGCATTGGCATTGGTTGGTCTGGTTACTATGGGCACTCTCTGGCTCTATTCTGAGGAGTTACCTCAGAAAGGAATGAAGGGGCCGGAAGAGGAGGGGCCTGCACTGGGCTGCTTTGATCCTAAAAGTATTTATCTCTTCCAGAAGAGATGCCTAGGAAACTGGACAAAGCTACGCAGTGGTGGCACGCACAGGAAGCCTTTAATTCTAGCACTCAGAGGCAAAGGCAGGCAGATCTCTGAGTTGGAGGCCAGCCTGGTCTACAGAGCGAGTTCCAGGACAGCCAGGGCTACACAGAGAAACCCTGTCTCCAAAAACAAAGCAAAACAGAACAAAACAAAATAACAAACAAACAAACAAAAAAAAAAGAGCAGAGCTTTCTGTACACTTAGGGACAAAAAAGAGATAAAGTAAAGTTCAGGACCCTTAAGAAAGAGGCTCCGGGCCAGGCTTGATGGCACACGCCTGTGATCCCAGCACTCTGAGGCAGAGGCAGGTGGATCTCTGTGAGGTTGAGGCCAGCCTAGTCTACAAAGCGAGTTGAGGACAGCCAGGACAGAGAAACCCTGTCTCGAAAACAAACAAACAAACAAAAGAACCCCCCCACCTCCCTAAAAGCTCCTTGACTTGGCTTTTGGGTGGCAGGATGACAGGAAACAACAGCGCAACCCCCATCAGGACTGAAAACAGTACGACAACAAATCAAACACGAAGTGTGGCAGAAGCAACAGAGGTGAGAGTTTCATTAAAGGATCTAGACAATGGAATTATCAACATGACTTCCCGAAACTGCACCTGGAATAGTCAAAGGCATGTAAGATAAGATAGCTGGAAATTAGAGAAAAGAACCAAATGCAAATTCCAGAACTGAGAAACACAGTATTAGAAGAGGAGAGCAGTGGGCGGGGTTAACCTCTGGTTGGATACAACTGAAGAGATGATTAGTGAAGTGAAAGGCAGATCATAAGGAAATTATGTTTCTCAGGTGCCTGCTCTGTGCCTCCTACTGTTTTTGTTTGTTTTTGTTTAGGCTCTGGGGTTACAGCAGTGAACAGAAAGATATGGCCTCACAATGCAGCCAGTCCTGATCCTTATGAGAACTGATCGGCTAGGGTCAGATGGAAGGGGAAGAGGACCTCCCCTATCAGGGGAGGGGTAAGGAAGGAGAAGAGGGAGGGAGGGTGTAATCGGGAGGAGAAGAGAGAGAGAGGACTACAGCTGAGATACAAAGTGAATAAACTGTAATTAATAAAAAGGAAAATAAAAGAACAAGCCAAAAAAAAAAAAAGTCTCTATTCATAAGGTTTAAATGGGGGAAGACAAAAAAAAGACTGGCAATTTCAAGTTCCAATAAATATTGAGGACGTCAAGATGGGAGAAGAGAGGCGTGGAGAAAGGGCATCTGTGTGAGTGGTCAGGACAGGGCCACAGGAAGTGTTAATGTTGAGACTTGGAGGAGACTGTATAGACACACACACCTCAGATTGCTACCCACCCCCCTCATTTCACAGTATTCTCTCTCCTCTCCCAGACCCTCTCCTCTTCCTCCAACCCTTGTTTGAGACAGGGTCTTACTAGGTAGCCCAGGCTGCCCCTAAAGTTGTGCTCCTCTGCTTCTGTCCCCTGAACGCTGGGATTACAGGCATGTGACATCAGGCCGTGGAGCAGAGCTGCACAATGTTCCTTGATAACAGTCCCCAGGGCCTAGTGCGGGCCCACAGAGAACAAGTGTTCATCTTGTGCTTGTTCCCTGATGACCTGGGATAAAGCAGGGCAGGGGAAGGAATGGCGGTGCGCAGCCCACGCTGTGGTGTGGCCGTGTGGTCTGCCCTAAGGTTTTCATCTTCACTGAGTGAGGTGTGATTTAATAGCGCCGTAGAGCGCTCAAGGCAATTTTGTTGCTGCTGTATTTGAGACGGTATCTCACTCTGGTAGTGCAGAGTAGCCTGGAACTCACCATGTAGCCCAGGCTGGCCTCAAACTTCTATCAAAGTAAACCATCCATCCATCCATCCATCCATCCATCCATCCATCCATCCATCCTTTTGCTCATTTACCCTTCCAATTTGTTGATACTTACTAGCTTGGGCAAGATGAATCAGAAGGGGACCCTTCCTTTGAGGACTTCCTTGGTCCTGGAGAATGGGGGGTGGTGGTGGCTGGAGGGAGGTGTCAGTATTTCATAGAACTGAATGGGAAGGTTATCATGGCATCAGGCTTTAAAGTAGAGTGTGTAGCTGGTTTCCTGGAGGAGAGGCATCTGAGGTGGCTTTTGAAGGAGATGGGTGTGCTAGAAAAATTCCAACATTTGGGAAGGAGCATGAGGAGAGTGGAGGGCAGGACTTAGAATACAGAGGCTTCCATTACAGTACTAGATTTGAGAACTAAGATAAGCTGGGGATGACAGCTCTGCATTGGAGGAGTGGCAAAGAAGAGAAAGGAGGAATGGAGAGAGCTAGGTTTATTATTGCTGTTATTATTTTGGTTTTTCAAGTCAGGGTGCTGGGAGCAAAGGCATGTGCCACCACGCCAGAGCTAAATTTTATTCTTAGGGACTCCATGGGCTTGGAAGACTGCCTCTCTTTGTTCTTTCCCTCCCTGAGCTGCCAGCACGCAGGACACTGCTTAGCCCCAAAGGAACCATAACCTGCTTCTTTCAGGATGTCATTACATAAAAGTCAAGTAGATTCTATCTACTCAAGAACAGAAACTCCAATACTGGGTGGGGAAGGAGGCAGCCGGTGGAGCCCCATCCCAGAGGTGAGGAGGGAGTCCTGCGTCCTGTGGAAGTTATGCAGATCTGTCTCCAAGGCCTCCTAGCGCTGGAGGCTCATTTGAGGCGGGGGACCCCAGGAAGATTTCCAGGGTCTCTAAGATGGTACATTGAGCGACAAGGGCTGGGAATGTAACTCTGAGGACAGCTTGGCGGAATTTGCAACCTTCTGCAACCCGTCAATACGGTTCCTCATACTGTAGCGACCCCCAACCATAAGCTTATTTCATTGCTACGTCATAACTGAAGATTTGCTACTATCTGATAGGTAGGTTATCTGGTATACACCTGAGCGGGATCGTGACGCACAGGTTGAGGATTAAAGTCTTTCTTGGTTTTCTTTCAAGACAGGGTTTCTCTGTGTAGCCCTGGAGGTCATGCTATAGACCAGGCCCGCCTCAAACTCAGAGATCTGCCTGCTTCTGTCTCCTGAGAGCTAGGATTAGGCACGGGCCACCGTCCTCTGGCAAGAAATATTTCTGAAAACATCTGTAGAGGCATCTGATAAGTGCTCCGCACTAACCTCTCTTAACCATCCCTGTCCTGTCAGGTAGGCATTATCTTTATCTTACAAGTGAAGGAAAAGACATGTCGATTACATGTGTTCAAGGTCGCACCGTTGGGACTGATGGCCACAAAGTGCATGGCCCTAACTAAACCGTCTCTGGTTGCTTCGGGGCTGTTAGTCTAATTTTAGTTTTTATTTAGTATCTAGTTAGTGACTTATTTCACGTGTGCCTATGGCCAGTGCCCGTGTGGAAGCCAGAAGACAGCCCCAGGGGTCATGCTCTCCTTCTGCCAAGTGTGGCCTACTGACAGAACCAAGCCTGGTGGCAAGCTGGGTGATCTAGCTAGGAGGCTCAAATTTCCGTACTGGAGGTGGGGTATGTTACCCAATTTCTCCTCATAGGAACTAGAGTTAGAACCTTCCCCTAGGGCATCATCTGGCCTATAAATGAGAGGAAAAACAGATTCCTGGCTTTAGTTTTCCAAGACAGGGTTTTTCTGTTATAGCCTTGGCTGTCCTGGTCTCGCTTTGTAGATCAGGATGGCCTCGAACTTACAAAGATCCACCTGCCTCTGCCTCCCAAGTCCTGTGATTAAAGGCGCGGGTCAACGTGCCCAGCAGAAAAACTGAGATTTAAATATTTATTGAGTGATCTACATCATTCCAATTCATCTTTGCATCATCAGATGGGAAAATAAAGGAAACACGATTTCTCCAAGATCAATTTAGCACAATATCGGCACTTTAGGGCTCAACAGCTTCAGGTCCAGAGGTTCCCAGCGATCAGCCTCTCGAACTCAAGCCCAGGTAGCAAGGAAGCTCTCTGACCTCTGACCTCTTAGAGCGGTGCCTTCTGGGATTTGAAGTACTATCTGCAGCGCCTCTTCACCGTGGGCCAATAGTATTCGGACACAGCTTTACCCGCCTTCGTGGTTCGTCAGAGATCCTCCAAGAACCAGCCAATGAGAAGTGCTCCGGTCCTGGTCGCCTGGGAAACCCCGAGACAACAAGATGGCGGCCCTGCGGGACGGCTCGCTCGCCCTGTGGTGAGTCCCAGCTCCAAGCCTTTCTGCCCCGCCAAGTCCTCCCGCAGTCCGGGCCCCCCGCCCGGACTCCGAGGGCCGGCGACCTGCGTGGCTTGGCTCAGGAGGAGAGTGGGGACCCTGCTCCCGTGTCCGCCCGTGGGGGCGGAGCAGGCGGCGGGCTCCTGGGGCGGGGTTTGGGCACCGCAGCCTTCCCCGTGCAAGCGCGCCCAGCAAGGGATTGGGAGGTTGGCGCGCAGCCGCCCGGCTGGCTGTCTTGGAGTCCAGGTGTGTCGAGGGATGGCCGCCTAGGACAGCACTGGGTTCGGTCCTCAAGATGAAGAGGCACAGGGCATGTTTGTAACCGGAGGTGACAACCGTACCTTCCAACCCTCGTCGGTTTTGGTGGCATACTCCTGTACTGTACGTAGGGGCTGAGGCAGGAGGATTGCAGGGTACGAAGCCCATCTGGCTACAAAGCTAGCCCTAGGTCAATCAGGGCAATTCAGCGAGACCTTGCCTCAGAATTTAAAAAACTAAAACAAGGCCAGGAGTGGTGGTGGCTCATGCACACTCGGGAGGCAGAAGGAGGAGACCTCTGAGCTTGAGGCCAGCCTGGTCTACAGAGTGAGACTCTGTCTCAAACAAAACAAAAAAATAACTAAACAAAATAGAAGACTGGGCTTGGTGGTCTGCAGGCCTGTAAACCTAACTACTCAGGAGGCCGAAACAGGAAGATCACACGTTCAAAGTCAGCCTGGACTTTAGAGCCAGTTCAAGGCCGTTTTGGGCAAAGACCTTTACACACGTGTGTGTGTGTGTGTGTGTGTGTGTGTGTGTGTGTGTGTATGTGTGTGTATAATTTTGTACATATGTATGTCTGCACCGCATGCATGCATGATGTCAGGAAGCCAGAAGAAGGCATCAGCTTCTCTGTAACTGTAGTTACAGGAGGGTTGTGAGCTGCCATGTGGGGGAACCAAACCCAGGTTCTTCAAGAGCAGCAATTGCTCTTAACCTCTTCATGAAAAGAATTAAAACCATAGATATAGCTCAGCAGTATCATTCTTGTGTAGCATGTGTAAGGCCCTGGATCCAATCTCCAGCCCTGAAAATGCTAATTAATTAAAAACAAGTTTAAAAGGACTTCAGGGATTGCTCAGCAGTAGAGTACTTGCCTAGCATTTCAGTCCTGAAACTGCAAGGGGAGAGAGAAGGCACAGCCCTGTCCAGGAGAAATTCCCAGACTGAAGGCATTATTTCAGGCTTTAGCCTCAGGAAATATCCTTTATCCTCAGAGAAGTACACCAGAAGGTTAGGGGAGAGTAAAACTAAAAACAGGGCAGTGGAATAGCTCCCAAAGAATTGCATCCAGTGGCCTGGGAAAAAGAACCCACTGCGAGAGACATTGCAGCGCTTAATCTGGTAGTCGATAGGATGAAGAGAGAATAAAGGAGAGAGAAAAAACATGCAGTGAGAGTGATGAGGGAGAAAAATAAATAAGGAGGAAGATGGAGGAGCTGAGTGTGTGGGACAGTGTTGGATTTGATCATGGAAGTTTGTGTTTCCTGTGGTAGTTTTGCTGATAATATAGTTCACACAGTCTATGCATTACCCTTCACTGTATAGATTCTAGCCATTTTTATGTTTCATTTAGGTGAAATGTCCAGAGTGGGCAGATCTGTTAGCTGCTACCTAAGGTTGGCTGGAAGAGATGGGGTCGGATCTGGAAGGAGGACGAGGGCAAGCTGGTGTACAGGTTTTTGTTTGCTTTTTTGACTAGGTCTTGTCATGCAGCCCTGACTGGCCTGGTACTTGCTATGTTGCTCTTGCTAGCCTTGAGCCCACCTTTGCCATTGGTGGGTCACAGGTGTGCATCATCACCCTTGGCTTTACAGGATCTTTTGGTGACTCCTGTCTGTAATCTCAGCACTTAGGATGCGGAGGCAGGAGGATCTCTGTGACTTTGAGGCCAGCCAGGGTTGTACGGTGAAATCAGAATAACAAGGGGTGATAGGGAGATAGGCTAGCTGGGGGAGCACTGGCTTTGCAAGCCTGAGGACTTGACCTTGATCTTTTAGAACATATTAAACAAACAAACAAACAAAAAAGCAGGGTACGGTGGTCACACCTGTAATCCCAGTACTTGGGAGGCAGAGGCAGGCGGATCTCTGAGTTCGAGGCCAACCTGGTCTACAGAGCAAGTTCCAGGACAGCCAGGGCTACATAGAAACCCTGCCTAAATAAAACCAAAACCAAACTGGAAAAAACTCTTAATTTCATTCTTTGAAATGGTGAAGTGTATGAAGTCTGTCTCAGTAAAGCCATGTAAGAAAGAAGGTGATTATATCTTACATAACTCCATTTATGTGACTTTCTCAAATTCCAGAGCTGAGCAGGAATGATGGCTCATTTCTCTACTCCTGGAACTCAGGAGGCAGAGGCAGGTGAGATCTTTGAGTTCTAGACCCCCCCCCCCCCCCCAGGGCTACGTACTGAGACCTTGTCTAAAGAAAGAAAGAAAGAACATTTCAGAGACAGAACCATGGTAGCTGCCAGCAGTCAAGGCTAGTGAGGAGGCAGAGGATGACTCAGGCTGCAGGAGGAATGCCTGCGGGATAGGAAAGGCCTGCATCTCAATGGCAGTGGTTAAGCCCTTTCTGTCCCTGTGATCAGATGGTACCGGCCTGCACACCAGACTACAGAAACAGTCAGTTCCTGCCCTCATGCTGTATTGTGATTGTGGGAAGAGTGTGGCTCACAGGAGGAGACCATTCCAGAAGGGGAGGCTAGTGACAGGGAGCCATGAGTTCAGGACATTGCTGACTGTCTTCAGTGTGGTCAGGTGGACAAGCTAAAAGGTAGACAGGCCCAAAGCACCCATGGCAATTTTATTCCCCCTCCTCCTTCTCCCTCTCTCACCCCCTCATCCTCATCCTTTTTCTTCTTCTTTTTGATTTTTTGAGACAGGGTTTCTCTGTATAGCCTTGGCTATCCTGGACTTGCTTTATAAACCCGGCTGGCCTCACAGAAATCTGCCTGCCTCTGCCTCTGCCTCCCTGAATGCTGGGATTACAGGTGTGAGCCACCACGCCCCGCTCTCTCTTTCTTTTTGTAAAGATGGAATCTCACTTTGTAGCCCCCGGCTGGCCTGGAGCATGCACAGATCTGCCTCCCCAGCTTTGAGCTTTTTAAATTCAAGGGAGAAAGGCGCCCTTGAGGAGGTTTGTTCAGAGGTGTGGCATGTCACTAGCTTGTGGGCATCAATGAAGGGAGCCACTGAGGGCTGTCCTGTTTAACCACGTAAAGCCCAAGGGTGCCCAGACCCTCAGAGACATGCAGCGGGTATGGTGAGGAGGCTGGACGCTGGGGTGAAGGAACTCTGGTTCCTTCTGAGGAAACGTGAATCCCAGACTCTAGAAAGAAGGTGACGGAGGCTACCTCCAGGCAGCATGGAGAGTATCAGGCTCAGCTGTCCTTTGCTTTCTGTGGCTGTGATAAAGACCCTGGGCAAAAGGAACTCGGGGAGGAGAGAGTTTATTTGGCTCCTACTTCCCAGTTCACAGTCCAGCATGAAGGGGAGTCAGGCAGGAACGGAAGCAGAGGCCATGAGAGACCTGCCTACTCCGATGGCTTGCTCAGCTTGCTTTTTGTCCAGTCGCGACCTCCCTGCCCAGGTGTGGCCCAGCCTGCAGGAGGCTGCAGAAAGCCTTCCCTCATCAAGAATAGGCCCACAGTCTTGCCTACAGCCTAATCTGACGGAGGCACTTTCTCAGTTGAGGTTCCTCTTCCCAGATAACTGTAGCTTGTGTCACGCTGGCAAAAACTGGCTAGCGTCACATTTCCAGAGGACTGGATTTAGCCTATCTCTAATGGAAACCCCTTCTTTGGCTCTAGGCTTGCTAAACTTTAGTCACTTTATGTAAGGAACAGAGTGGTGGCTTTCAGTTACAGCTGGCTTGCATACGTACGTTGTTCATTGGAAGAGTGTATTCAAGTGTCAGTCCCATGTGCCAATGACAGTGACCTCAGACAGCCCCAATTCAGCTTTCAGCTTTCAGCCACAATTTCAGCTTTCAATTGAGCTTGGCACTGGGCAGAATGCTTTAGGACTTTGAGCCCCCCAAGTCACCTGCCTTGCAGCTGCTGAGATCATGCACATTTTACATGGGAGGAAGGAAAGGTGCCACCTAACGCTGGGCAGCAGAGCATGTGCCAGGGCCTAGGAGCTTGGCCTCCATGGTGCGTGGCTGTGCCCCTGGTGGTCCCTGCACCTGGGTTCTGGCAGGAGGGGAGGAGGTGCCTGGCTTCCCGCCAACCAGCCGAGTGGCAGCCTGTGCCCACACTCAAAGCTTGGGGAAGTTGTAGGCCCTGCACCCCACCAGGCGTGGGCTTCCACGATCAGAACAGAGAAGCAGAAACTCGTAAGAGCCAGCAGTTGTGAGAACCTCAGCCCCATGTTGGAGAAGTGAGGCCTGCTTATCCTGACCTGCAACCCTGGGTGTCTTCCGTCCACAAGGACTGACTTCCCTCTTACCTCTCAGGAGTTCCTGACAGCGAGCCTCGAAACTAGAGCGATGAGCTCACCTCTGGCCTCTCTTAGCAAGACGCGGAAGGTGCCCCTAGAGCCGGAGCCTATAAATCCTGGGTAAGGAGCCAGCTGGCCTCTAGGTCCTTGCGCCCCAGCCCGGTCTCCTCCTTGATCCTTCCCTCACCAGAGGAGAGTTGACTCCTAGTATCTTGGGGAAAGCAAAGAGCAGGTAGTGGCTCTCTGTGTCTGCCTTCCTTCTCTTTATGCCTCCTGGAAACTCTGGTTTGTGATGACCAAAGATTGGACGGAGCCTTTCTATAAGGAATGGCCCTGTGAGGTGGCTGACGGCTTGTGATTCACTGTCCACTCACTGGTCCTGCCAGCCTGAGCCAGGCCCTGTGCCGGGCTCTTTTAAATGCCAGGGCCTCATATCTTGTAGCAATCCTCGTACAAAGAAGCCTTTCCTGCCTCTTGTCTCATTGCTTCTCTAATCACATGTAGGGTCTTGCTAAGATAAGGGTGCAGAGAGGTTAAGCAGCAAGGCCGGGGCCACTGTACCTCAGAGAGGAGCTAGGGCCAGCTCCGTGGGCTTTGGAGGCTGTGATCTGCCCACCCAGAGCAGCCCTGCAGTGCCCCCATCTTTCTGTGTTGAGAGGAGTTAGGCATCGTACCGCACGTCCCCTGCCTCACCCTGGCTAAGTATAGATTGGGGGTGGGAGTGTTCAGGAGACAGAGGCTTAACCTCTATCTCTTTGAGCCTTGCATGGGGCCTGGAACCTTCCCTTGGCAGCATTCCAAGGGGCTTAATTTGTATTTGTTCCTTCTTCCTGCCTGGGTTCCCAGGAGGCGAGGGATAAGAATCTACGAAGATGGTAAGTGTGTGCCCAGTCCCTGTGTCCCCTCCCCTCTCACCAGTCTCCTTACAGCTGGGCATCTAGGGAAAGAGCATGCTGAGGGCTTGTGAGACTGGGCTTCTTGCCCGCTCCCTGTACTCCTCAGCTCCCACCCCCTTGCCCTGCTCCCTCAGCAGAGATAACCAGGCTACCATAGATCCCCTCTGCCCAATAGAAGATGGTTATGGGTGCCTCAAAACTGTGGGAAGACCAGAGGTGCAGACCCCAGCCTCTGGCTTGTAGCCTTCCCTCCTGCAGCCCTGGCCTCAGCACTGACCTGACTGTGCACTTGGAGGCAGCATATGAGCTGTTTCATCTTGGCCAGGGCCCAGGGCCAGAGTGCTCTCTGGGCTGTGGTCCCAGGGAAGTGACCTGGGTGTCCCTATCTGTAGAAGATGAGGTGGACATGGTGAAAGATGCGCAAGACACAGAAGAAAAGATCTCGATCCCTTCCTGCTATGGAGGCATTGGTGCCCCTGTCGGCAGGGAAGGTGAGAACAGAGGGCTGAAGGGGTGTGGGTCCCCCTTGCTCGCAGCAGCAGGAGAGGCTCTGAGCCACAGCGTCTACTCTCACCCGCTGGGTCAAGGCACTGCTCCCACTCCTGGCTAGTTGCCCCAGTGCCTGCATCCCACACCCATCCAGGACAGGTTTAACCTAAAACCACAGTTGGTCTGGTCAAGCCCCAGGCCAGGCTGTGGCTAGAAGCTGCAGTCTCCAGCATGTGTGATGTCAGCGGGTCTGTGACTGAGGCTCAGAGAGTGAAGAGCCTGAAGGGAGAGCTCAGCCTCTAGCTGGCCATCTGCTTTCTTATCTGCATGCTCCGAAAAGGGCCGAGTTCCTTAGGAGGAGGCCATTTCACATGACTTTGTGTCTTCGAAGGGCTGTGTGGAGTTGCCTACAGTGGGATGAGGACAGAGGGCAAGGGGGCAGACAGGCCCCAGGTGGGATCAAGGGAAGTTGGGAATAAGTCTAGAACTTTCCATCAGCTGTGACATCTTAAGCAGTTTTAACTTCCTCCTGCTTCCCTGTGCGCTCGGGGAAGGAGAGCATCAGGCTGGCCTGTTATAAGGATTTGGTGAGATGCTACTTGGCGGGGTCCCTCGCCATCATACAGGGTACTCAGAGCAGTGGCCACCACTCTGAAGGGCAGTGGGGGGAAAGGCCAGGTGATCCTGGACCAAACTCTCCTCCATTCGACACTGGCAGGAAGTCAAAGTAGAAGAGATGGGACTTGCCTAGCCCAAGTCCCATAGAGACTAAGTGACAAAGCCAGGATCTCCTCTGCCTAGCCAGGGGGACAGGAGTGGCCACAAAGCCCTCACCTCTCTAGGGACTGTACCTCCTCTGGCCACTTCTCCCCTCCACATCCAGCTGCTGTGCACCCCGCCAAGGTCTCCCATAGGACCTGCCTCTCCTGCTTCACTTCTCTGCGCAGCAGCCACCTCCCCTGCCCCCACTGTCTCCTTCTCAGAGCATCTCCATGCTGGCTAGGTTTTGGATGGCCTCTCAGTCAGGGTCTTTCTCCTTGCTTGCTTTCTTAGTGCCTCCTCTTCTTTTCTTTCCTTTTTTTTTTTTTTTTTTTTGTGAGAGGTCGGGGTTTGGCACTGTCTCATCTAGTTTAGGGCAGCCTCAAACTCACTGTGTAGCCAAGGATGATCCTGAACTTTGTGTTGGGATGAAAGTGTTCCATCATTACCCCCAGATCCCAACCTTTATTTTGGAAAATTTTCACTGTACCGAAAAGCTGAAGTAGGAGTACAGTGTCTCCCAGTTCACAGCAACTGGCATGTCACCCGTAGGCACCTCCCCCTCAGCTGTACAGAGATACGTGCATTAAAGGGCTTCTCTTGGACGAGCAATAGAGGTAACTTGCAGCGATCCTGACATCCACAGCTAACCCCCCAGTGCTCTTGCATCTGCTAATAATAAGGAAACTGTTATTGCTGCACTTCTGAGCACGAATAATTCACTAGCCCTCCTAATACCTGTGCGTTCTGTGTCTAAAACGTCTCTTAGAATGAGTTTTCCCAGACCTGGGACCCGAGAGGCAGCAAGGCTTCACGCATTGTTGCAGTGTTTATGCAACAATGCATAAACAATGCAGTTTAGAACATCTCCAACCTTTGAAAACAATGACATTAGCCACTTTATTTTCTTTTGAGACAGGGTTTCAGTATGTAGCCCTGCTGTCCAGAGCTCACTATGTAGACCAGGCCAGCCCCAAGTCGCAGAGAAGCCGTACCTCTGCCTCCCGAGTTTTGGGACGAAAAGTCTACCCATATGACAAAGTCATATGACTTGTGTTGCAGGGTACAGCTGTGTTAGGTGATTATTTACTTTGTGTGTGTGTGTTCCTGTGCGTGCACTCACAGGGTGAGTATGTACTGTATGTATCAAAGAACACTCTTCTCCTTCCATCCTGTGGATCCCAGGAATCCAACTCAAGTCACCAGGTTTGATGGCAAGGAGAGGGCTGAGTGGAGAAATGCTCCTGTGAACAAAAGAGGCCCTGAGTTCAAGTCCCCAGCACCTGCATACAGGCCTCTCATGGCCTAGTATGCCTGAAACCCCACCATTAGAGGTCAGAGACAGATGGCTTGTGGGAGTTTTCTGGCCAGCCACCCTACCCTAGATAGCAGTCCTCAGGCTCAGTGTTTACCCAACACACATATGGCCCTAGGTTTGACACCCCCCCCCAAAAAAAAAAAAAACAAAGGTGGAGATCAGTAAAGGAAGGCACCCAACATCGTCCTTTGCCTCTACATGTGTGTGCGTGGGAGTATGTAAGTGCACACACACACACACACACACACACACACGCCCCTTAAACGACGTGGCCTGTCTATTGCACCACCAGTATACACACCTGGAGCTTGTTACGGCACCCACCCCCCTTCATGAAGAAGCCCACTGACGCCATGGCCCACTGTGAGGGCTGCACAGGCTGCTCTGGGTAAAGAGCTTCAGGCGCCCCATGGCGGAGGAGCTAGCTGCCGTTGGGCCTGCTGTTTCTGTTCCTGTGCTTCTCTCCCTCCCAGGCCCTTTCCATCCTAGCCTCCACTCCAGGCCTGGACACTAGAAACTTTGTCCACTTGACAGTTTCACCATTCAATGATGACTCGGGGCCTATGTCCCCCCTGCCCGGGAAGCTTCGGGAAATGGAGAATCAGTTAAAGGTCCTGAATAATGAGCTGCTGGCCAAGGTAGGACCTGAGGCAGGAGACAGCCAGGGAGGACTGTTTCCTCAAATTGAACTGCCTGTTTTGATGGCAAGCCATGACCTGGGAATGGTCCCCATGAATTGAGCAGAGGGCAGACGCTGGTAGAATGTGGGCTGGGTAGAGTTAGCGGGTAGCCAAGCAGAGGTGGCAAGTGGGACACTGGGCCCAAGACACAGGGCTCTGCATTTCTCAATTAGTGTGACTGCAGGGGCTTACCTGCAGCTCAGGCGCAGGCGCAGTACCAAAGCCTGGTAGGGACAGGTTTATGCCGTCCACAGACGAAAGGTGTGGAACTTCCCATCGGAAGGGCCAAAGCTTATCTCATTTCTATGCTCTGGGGCTCCGGAACCCACCAGGATTTCTCACCCTGAATCTCACTGCTTCAGGACCAGAAGATCCTGGCCCTGGAAGAGTTGGTGCAAACCCTGCAGGAGCAGCAGCAGCAGCAGGAGCAGCAGCAGCAGCATCAAGGTGAAAAATGCTTGCTTGGGTCCATGGCTCATCGAGGCCTAGACAGTGGCTTCTGGGTATCAAGGCTCCAAAAGCATCACACAGAGTCCTGGTAGGGAGGGATGACAAGACTTTACCCAGTGCCTTATGTGCAGACTGCACTGTCCTGAGCCCGGAGCCACGCTAACGGATGCAGGGATGAGTGGCTCCTGAGAGACAGTTCAGGCAACCCTCTCCCACCCCACCAGGGCTAGGAGAGGGCAGAGAGACAGGGCTCAGGGGCAGTTCTTAGAGCATCCTGAAGACCCTAGGGTAGAGCCCCCGTCAGCCTCTGGGTTGTGGCCATAGAATCACTCTGCCGCTTCATCCCCAGGAGACAGTGCATCCCTGAAGCGGCAGGAGGAGCTAGAGACACAGTGCATTCAGCTGCAACGGCAGGTTGGCGAGATGGAGGTGAGAGGCCAAGGTCTGTGGAATGGATGGCCAGGCCGCTTGCCCTGGTCTCTAGCTGCCAGTAGAGCCCCTCAGTAGCCTTCAGGGGCCCTGCCTGTTGCCCTGCTCTGGGTTGACCCAGAGTTTAGAGTCGGGTTGGGAGGGTATCCGACACCATGGCACACTACTTCTTTTGGGCCTGAAGCAAACCCTGACTACACCCCCTCTTGCTTAATAGACTTCATTACTCCACTTGGCTGTCTTCCCAGGAACTCATGGTAGGTTTGTGGCTAGCCCCCGCTCTCTTACCCAGAACCTCTCTGCTCTCCAGCCACCTCGCCTCCCTCGGGTCCCTTAGCTGACCTCTTTCCCACCTTAGGACCCTAGCCCGTGCTGTTTTCTGCTTCCCCCTGGACAGGAATTCTCACTCCTTTCCTTGAAGCCTTTCTGACCTCTGACCAGTGCAGGCTCATCATCCTCTGCCTTCCTAGTGCCTCGTCTCTCTTCCCTTGTGGGACTGTAAATTCCATGAGGGGCGCACGGCTCACCCCAGACCTAGAGCTAGGCGGTCCCCTGCCTCTGGCCATGACTTCTTTGCCCAATGACTTGGTCACCACAGTCACTTTTCTTCCACTCAGAATTGTGGTCAAGCTGCAAGACTTGAGCTGGAGGCACCGGTGCCCAGCAGGGGCCCCTCCTGCCTCGCAGTGCTGGTGCCGCAGCCCTCTGCGGCCTGCTGCAGAGCCATTTCTGGAATGTAGCGGCTCTCTCTGCCCAAACAGAAGGGTCTCCAAAGCTCCCACGCACTGCAGGCCTGTTCATATCTGGGGCTGTGGGTGACAGCTGCGGCTGTGCCTGAACAGCCTGCTGGGAATGTGTCAGCCCATGGGGCAAGGGCACAGCTCAGCCGTTGCACCCCAGCTCCAGCGTGCACCTTTCACATCGGTGTCGGTTCACCAATTGTTTGGTTTTGTTTTCTGAGACAGGGCTTTTCTTTCTAGCCCAGGCTGTCCTGGGACTCACTCTGTAGACCAGGCTGGCCTCGAACTCAGAGATTCTTCTGCCTCTGCCTCCTGAGTGCCGAGACTAAAGGTGTGCCCTCACCCCACTGAGTCATGAATTGAACAAACCTAAAGTATCTGATGGGTGACACCACCAGCCATTAGGCTGTGTCATCTGTACAGAAAGACAGGGTCCCCACATGCATGAGGCTGACAGTCTATAGAAGCAGAGAGACATATGCGACTAGACAGAAGGCTATGAGAGCGTGGAAATAGTGAGTTACAGGAACCATGCTGCTGGGGTGGTGATGGAGGCCTGGGAGGGGTCTAGGCAGAGAGAAGGCTCCACCTGCCACAGCACTCTGGCTGTGGTGGAAGTCATGAGGAGAGGCGGGAGAACGAGAGAGGCCAGGACAGAGGCCTCGCTATGGGCTCGTTCGGAGGGGGTCTTTGTGCACACGGGGGTGGACACGAGCCATAAAGGAGAGTGTGGTTGGGGCTGGGTGCGAGGAACTGCACAGGAGGATGGGAGGGAAACACTTACGCATGAAGAGGCTGGAAAGCCGGCTGTGTCGACAGGCCTAACTGCAGCAGGGTGTGGCAACAGCAGGAGTAAGAACTAAGCTGAAGGTTTCAGTAGAGGGCCTGGCAGACGCCCTCTGTCTGGGACACAGGTGGGGAGGAGAGGCCATGGCGTCCTGGGTTAGGGTGTGGGCATGACATGGGTTGGCGGAAATGGTTGGGGGGTGCTGTGGGAGTGGCACTGTGGTCTTTGCTGTGGGTAGCACAGCAGGAGTGGCCCATGGAAGATGGCAGGTGTGGAGGGGTGCTGCTTGCTGAGGTAGCGGAGGTCTGGGCTCGGGGGATGCAGCACCATCCACACAGGTGGAATCTAATGCTCACCACACGTCTGCATGGTGGGGAGCGGGGGCGAGCTCAGAGGTGAGAGGCACAGTCCGTGCGAGTCTGGGCCCTGTCCTTACGGATGTGGGAGTGGACAGGAGCTGTAAAAGAGGGTGTGGCCAGGGCTGGTGAATGGGCATAGGGATGGCAGAGGCAGTCACACGTGCAGTGGGAAGAGAACCAGCCATGTTGAAAGCGGCGACGACAGCATGGACCAGGGTTTCACAACAGCAGGCAGTTAGTTGGTGACCACACCACAAGGAGGTCCGAGAGCTGTGGAGCAGAGGGGCTGGCAAAGACCGGGAGAGAAGAAAACGGTCACAGAAACAGATTACATTAGTCCCAGCACTTGGGGGGCAGAATAAGGCAAATCTGAGTTTGAAGCCAGCTTGATCTACAAAGAAAGTTCTAGGACATCCAGGGCTACACAGACCCTGTCAAAAAACAAAACAGAAAGTACAGTGTGTAGACAACTCTTCCTGGGCTGCAGACGGCTCAGTCAGGAAAGTGTTGGCTTTGAAAGCACGAGGACCTTTGTTCTGTCCCTACACCCATTTTTTAAAAGGCTGGGAATGGTTTCATGGATTAATTATCTCAGACCAAGGGAAACCGAGTCAGGTGGGTCGCTGGGGCTTCCTGGCCAGCCATGGCATCCAGGCAGGGCCCAGGCTGTTGATTGAAAAGCACCAAGATGGACAGTGCTTGAAGAGGCAGGACAACCAGCCTTGTCCTCTGGCCCCCACGCACAGGTGCATTTGCGCATGTGCCCCTGCACATGCCTGGAGTCACAGACACACGAACACACGCACACTAGAGTCTAGTGTGGCAGAGAGAGAGGGAGGCTCACTCATGAGGAACAGCTGTCCCCACGCTCCCCACGCTCCCCACGCTCAGGCCAGACCCACACAGTCCCAGAGCTGTGGCGGCCAGCTTTATGGAGTTCTTGAGTTATGTGCCGTTCAGTGCTGATGGGAGGGGTCTCGCTGAGCACACTGAGACAGGTTGCTGTCACAGCCCCATCCTGCCTGCTGTTGTAGGAGGGCAAGTGCGATCGTGGTCACAGGCAGGACACAGCCAGGGCCTTCCGGCACATTCTTTGTCCAGGCCACTCTGGGCTGAGGACAGACTGGGAGGTGGGCAGGTGGTGCCACAGCACGTCTCCCGTCTTGTGCCCCACAGCGGTTCCTCAGTGATTATGGCCTGCAGTGGGTGGGCGAGCCCATGGACCAGGAGGACTCAGAGGGAAAGGAAGGCGGTGAAAGTGATGAGCGGGACTGGATGACAGCCAAGAAGTTCTGGAAGCCAGGTAGAGTAGAGCATCCTTCCTGGGCCTCTTTTGGCCCCTCCTGTTGGCCTGCCACTCTTCCAGAGGCCCTTTGTTTCAAGCCTTGGCATCCCAGCATTGGGGTTTGGTGGGGGGTGCTGAGTTACCCAGCACCTTGCCCCTGACCCATGGAAAGAAAAGCCAAGGTCTCCTTCCCTAGCCTCACTTCAGTGTCTGCCTGCTCATTAGCCAAGGGCCTCAGAGACCCAGAGTTACTAGACATTTGATGCTTTCTTCCTGGAACTCACTCTGTACACCAGGCTGGTCTTGAACTCAGAGATCCATCTGCCTCTGCCTCATTTTATTTTTTTTCCCCTCACTGACATCTAGTGGGTCCCTCTCCCTCCCAGTCCACCTTGTCCTTAAATTCAGACCCATAGAGTTGCTTCTGCCATAGGGCCCATTTTCTTCAGGGTGGCTCTGGAACCTAACTGAGACCCTCATTTCTACTCCACCACCTGTTCAGGGGTGGCTTGTGGCTTGGACAAGCCACTTCCCTTCCCTGAGGCTCAGGGTTGCAAGGAGCAAATGAGTCATGTCGCTCCTGCCATGTCATGCTCTTGTTTCCTGGGCCTTGAAGGTAACAAGGGCCCTGGAAGCTTCACTCCCAAGGGGGCTTTCTAGAAGATGACAACAGTGTTGACGTCAGAAGTGCCTTTCTGGATAAAAACCCAGATTCTAGGGCGGAGGATGTGGCTCAGTTGGTAGGGTGCTTACCCCGAGTGCACAAGGCCCTGGCCTTATTTTCCAGCACCTTTAAGCAGGGCGTGGTGGTGCACACTTGCAGTCTTAACACCCAGGAGGAAGAGACAGGAGGACCAGAAGTTCAAGATTGTTCTGAGCTATGTAGCAGTTCTGAGGACAGCCTGGGCTACAAGAGACCCTGTCTCAAAAAAACAAACACAGGGAATGGAGAGATGGCTCAGGGTTAAGAGGGCTTGCTGCTCTTCCAGACCTGAGCTCAGTGCCCAGTACCCACTTTGGGTGGCTCATAACCTCCTGTGACTCCAGCTCCAGGTGTCCAAACACCCTCCTAACCCCAGGTCAGAAGCATGGCTCTACCTTCTATTGCCCTGGACACACCCGCCCTTGTTTAAGGGTGTTACCATTCATTTATGTACTTTTTGAGCTTTGCCTTCTTTTCCTCCTTCCTCCCCCCTCTTTCTCTCTTTCCTTCTTCCTATTTTTGAGACAGGTCTTTACCTTGTAGCTCTGGCTGTCCTGAACTCTGTTGTGGAACTTGCCATGTAGATCTGAAACTCAAATAGATCCTCCTGCCTCTGCCTCTAAGCGCTGGGATTAAAGGCGTGTGCATATCACTATGTCCGACTTTTTGTTGTTGGTGTTTTTTTTTTTTTTACAGCTTTCAAAGTTTTTTGAATAAACAGCTTTGGCATGGGCCAAAGGATATCTCATTTTATAGCAAACTAAGGCAGAGTGTCTGAAGGCTGTTGAATGGAGAGCGTTGAAAGCCCACTGGGAAGCAGCCCCAGTCATTTGATAGAAGACGAGGTGTTGCTGGCGGGGAGGACCAGTGGAGACAGAGAAGGGATTTGGGAAGTGGGGTCCTTGGCCTTTTTGACTTATGGAGGGGAGGGGAGGAGTCAGATGGCCCTGGGGCGTGGCTATGAGGAGATGCTAGGGAGCTGTGGCCGGGGCTATGGGAGGCGGCGTGAGGCCCTGTTCCGCAAGGTCTGTGGCAAGACCAAAGCAGGCCAGGGGGTGGCGCTCTGATCACGGGTCTCTAGGGGCTGAGGCCACAACGGGTGGCTGTGGGTACCGTGAGTATGCTTGAGGTTTTCTTCATTGCCCCTGGAGCCCATCTCATGGTAGGTGGGGTCCGTGCCATTCGGCCCTCCCGTCCTGGAGAGCAGCCTTCCTTCTGGCCGGAAGGTGTCTTCTACTGCCTTTGGGGGGGGTGTGTCAGGCCACAGGGCTGCTCTCTACCATGCCTTCTCCTTGTCCCTCGTGCCTCCCCCAGCACCCCTCTGTAAAAGCAGAACCCGGAGCTCTGTTTTGTTGGTGCAGCTCAGGTCTGGCTGTGAAGCCATGTGCTGCTGAGTTAAAGCAGCCAGCGGAGTCGACGGTTGCCTTCCATCTTGGAGCTCCTGGCTGCAGAGCCCTCTGCGCTTTTCTGTTTTTGGCCTTTCAGTGTGGTAGGGGCCTTAGTTCTTCCTGCCAGTTGAGGACATGTTTTACATTTCTAGAAGGTTTTCCGACTTGGGACTTCCTCTTGTCTCGTTCTCTTGCCCGCCTCTGTCCCTGGGGTCCTCTGCTACCAGCGCTGGCTTCTTGCTGGCTCATTTCTGGGCTGCCAGGGGCAAGTGAGACAGAGCATCAGCTTTTATCCAAAGGGGTGATTAGAATATTCTAGATCGAGAACTTTTGCCGTAGGAAGTTTCTCCATGAAGGGGGCCAGTAGAGCAGAGGCCTGGAAAGGGTGTAACCCCCAGCTGGACCCTCAGCCTCTCACCAGGATGTGAACATCACATTGGCCGCTGTGCCAAGCGCTTCAGGGGATGGTCCTTCTCTGGTCGCAGCACACAGCAGGTGTGTGGGCCTCTGAGACGAGCACATCAGTAGACTTGGTCTCTTCACTCTTCTGTCTTTCCTCAAGTTCCCACCTTCCGCCATATCACCCACCTGTCTCTTGCTAGGTCTCTACCTCCACCCCTAGTCTTCTGCCCAACTCCCAAGTCCCTGGCGCTTCTCAGATTCCTACGATGAGGCCACACTGGCAGCCTGTTTGACTTGCCCTGGCTTAGCCCTGGGTAGGCATGCCTTCCCCGCCCACTTTGGCTTCTGCCTCAAGCCCTGACCCCTCCAGCAGATCCCCTTAGCTACCTGGGCTGCTCCCGGAGCTGTGCCAGCGTCCCCTGGGAAGGGTTGTGCTGGAGCGAGGGGTTGAGAGTCTCAGGCTAGGTGTGCTGGGCGCAGCCAGCAGGACCTGAACCCACTGTCTCCTCCGCTGCTGATACCTGGGAGCCTGCAGCACAGTGCTTGGCACACAGTCCAGTTACGTGTGCCTGTGCAAGAAAGGTCCGAGGCCTGGGGTGTCTGGGACTGTTTGTCCACCGGGACAACCCTAAGCTCAACAGCAGGCATCAGGACAAACCTGCCCTGGTGATGAGGATGGTGGGGAACCATCCTCAGAGCTTTTCCCTGCTGGGGCTCCTCTGAGCAGCAGAGGGCATGCAAGTAAGTGGCCAGGGTGGGCCTGGCTGGCAGAGTAACAACAGCTGTTTCCTAATGCAAGAGGCTATGGGTGGGGCTGGGGGTGTCCCTGAGAGGTAGACCATCTCCAGCCCCAAAGCAGCAAGTTATCCTTCCAACAGGCCTGCAAGGGGCACCACTCAGTTCAGCAGTGGCAGGGTCTGGGCCTGCTGTGGGCTCTGCAGTGCAATGGGGGCTCTTTGTATCTGCTGGTGACATTGTTGGCTACCCTGACTCTTCTTGGGTACGAGCCTAAGGAGGACAGGACCCTGGGATGGTGTTAACAGGACTCTCAGAAGCTAACAGAGCCACACTGCTCCTGACATACTGGCAGGCAAATATGCAGGTGGACAGTTGGGTCAGCAAATGCTTCTGGGGCACCCCCATGGGCCAGGTTAGGGGTTCAGTGCTTTAACCCATGTCTAAGAGTTGAAAGGCAAATAATCACACACAAAATGATAAGAGTGTGTGACAAGGGCCAAGAAAATGGGTTCAGGGACTACAAGAACCACACAGGAGGGCCAGGGGCTTCTGGCAAGGTTTTTGGAGAAGGTGGGGCATGGTGTGGCCTGAGCCCACGTGAGTTGGGAGATCACAGCAGCCGCCCCTCCTAGCAGTGGCACAGTTCTAAGACAGGCTGTTACTACCCTCTTTTTGTTTCGTTTTGTTTTTTGAAACAGGGTTTCTCTGTGTAGCCCTGGCTGTCCTGGACTGTCTTTGTAGAGCAGGCTGGCCTCAAACTCACTGTGATCCACCTGCCCCTGCCTCCCTGAGTGCTGGGATCAAAGGTGTGCGCCATGCCCAGTTACTGCCCTCTTTGTACATAAGAGGAAGTCAAAGCTTAGGGCTGCTGCAGAGCTTACAAGCATCAGCCCTAACTGGCCCTGGGGGGCCAAAGAAGTGCCAAGGGGAGAGGGCCGGCCAGCACTTGGGAGGGGGAGGCAGAAGGGTCAGGAGGTCAAGGTCTTCCTCAGTTTCTTTCACTGTGGGCTACAAAAGGCTCTGTCCCAAAAACAGAACCAAACTCCCAAAGTGACATGAAGCCTCAAAGGTGTCCCCAGCACTGTGACCCTTCCTAGAAAGGAATTCTCAGGTAGCTGTGGCACTTAGCAGCTGCCACCTACAAGGCCACCGAGAGCTGACTGAGTCACAAAGGCCCTGCAAGGCTTGCATGACCAGGAGCGTGATACCTCACAGGGCCTAATTTCCTCACCTGTAAAATGGGAACTGAAATGCCTCCCTCAGAGAGTCCTTAAGCCAGGTCCACTGGGCACGATCTTGCTGCCAGGTCAGGGTTCCCGCCTCCCCATTCCACTAAAGGGGCACATCTCCCCACGGGCTTGAGCCAACGCAGGGCTAGCTTTTTGGCCCGAGCTGCCTTGTGTGGGAGTTCCTGCCACACCCCCTCCAGATGAAGGCTCCCGTTGAACTATTTGGCAAGGGCTCACTGACTTACAACTCTGCCCTGTGCTGGAGCTGCAGTTCCTTCTCGATGGGTGCCCGGTCTCCCGCTTCCTTCACTCTCTCTGTCTCTTCCTCAACATTTTTTTTTTTTTTTTTTTTTGGTCTATGCAAATGTTCTGCCACTGGCCTATAGCCCGGCCCTCCGGTCTTCCGAAGCAAAGCTGCCATCAGTGTTTCTGCACCATCCCAGGGATTCCGGTCTGTCCTCTTAGCCTGCTGCCCATCCTGTTTATCCTTTAAGCCTTGGCCGAGATGTAGCTTGTTTTGGACGGCAGTGTTGGCTCTGTTCTGTGGCAGAGCTCACTTTCCTAAGTTATGGGAAGAGGTGCAGGGCTGTTCTTTTTCAGGTTTCTCAGTGTGTTCTGAAGGCAATTGTTGAGGAAGTACCATTGTGGGGCAGGGAGTTGGCAGCGTGCCTGCTTCACATCATGAGGCCGCAGGGTCAGTTTCCAGCATCCCGTAATCTGGACTGTTGGTGGCACATGAAACAGGGAAGCCCAGAGGCAGGAGGGGTAGGCATAGCCCTTCACGTAATGCCAGGTTCAGGGAGAAGGGAGCGCTTGTAGAGGGCCTACAGGCTCAGTGGCTGCAGACTCAACAGGAAACATAAGCCCCTGCACCAGTACTTCCATTCGGGGCCTGAGCAGCCGCACCCCCTGTGCCCCGACCTACGTCCTGACCCAGCCCAGCCATCCCAGGGAGAACAGCTGTCAGGAAGCCCATGGGCAGTTGTGTGCTGTAGGCATACGCTCTAGGAATGCTTAACTGACCCCAGCCAGCTGCCCTCCTGCCTGCCACACTTCTTGTCTGGCACCTTCATGGCTGTCCTGGTCTCCTCTCCTACGACCCTCCACTGTGCACAGACGTGTGGGTAACAGTTTCCAGAGTCCAGAGACTCAGCAGAGATCTCAGGAGTCTGCTACCCTGAAACAGTTAACATCTGGCTAGCAGCTGTCCCCACACCCTGGTGGCCGTGTGTCCCCACCCTCATTCTCCCTGATGATGCAGCCGTCCTAAGTCCTCCAGCTTGCCAGGTGGCCTGGAGCACGTCCCTTTTCATTTTTCTGGTAGTTTCCTCATGCGGAAAGTGGAGATTAAGAACCTCTGCCTCCAGCCTCAGGGTAGACCTGGTGAGCAATGGTTCAATGTGGACAGTTCTGGCTGTTTCAGGTTGGCCCTCACATGGTGATTTCCTTGGCACCTTATAGCCCCCCTGTGAGGCCAACCCTGCCGGCGTCCCATTCTAGCCCAGAGCACTGTGGTAAGGCCACACAGGAAGACATGCAGGGCCTGGGGTTTGAACCCTGAAAGCTTTGATCCAGAGCTGGAGCTTTGCCAATTCAGTGCCTACCACAGCTCTAGTATCAGCTCTAGTATCAGCTCTTAATGCTGTGTATTGCAAAGAAGCTGCTGAACTCTGGCCTCAGTTTCCATCTCTGAAAATGGGAGTGAGGCCCTTACAGTGTAAGATCTGTCAGTGGAGGAGATGAGATGGAGAATAAGCCCCTGACACACAGTAAGTATCTGCTAGGTGGGGCGACACTCACGTAATCCCAGCACTTGAGAGGTGGAGGTAGGGTCAGAAGGAGTTTGAGGTCACCCTCATATCTAGTTGAAGGCTACGTGGACCAGAGCTCAAGGTCAAAGGATATAGCCAGTAAAAGGCAGCTAGCTGTCTTTTTGTTATCTAGTGCAGTGACCCTTTTCTTTTGGCTGGCGCCTTTAGGAGGGGCCTCTGCCGAAGCCTCTGCTCCGCATGGGAGGACCCCCAGGAGCCGGGCCACACTGCAGCCATGGAGGCTTATGGGCATCTACCCCTTTTGCCAGGGGATTCTGTTGTGCCCCCTGAGGTGGACTTCGACAGGCTGCTGGCTAGTCTGCAGGATCTGAGCGAGCTGGTGGTGGAGGGGGAGAGCCAGGTGACACCTGTGCCTGGTGGGGCACAGCTCCGCACCCTGGAGCCCATCCCGCTGAAGCTCTACCGGAACGGCATTATAATGTTTGACGGGCCCTTCCGGCCCTTCTACGACCCTACCACACAGGTAGGATGGCGCTCGGAGCCCATGCTTGCTCACCCCTTCCTGGAGGGGGGCAGCTCACCGTATTAGCTTGTCCTCCACGGAGTACACAGGCCCCACCCCTTATGGCTTATGGCTTCCTAAGGTGGCAGGCTCTGTTTAGCATGACACAGCACAGCTACAGAGGCCTCGCCTGTTCACTCCTGCAGCGCTGCCTCCGGGACATACTGGATGGCTTCTTTCCCTCAGAGCTCCAGCGACTGTATCCTGACGGAGTCCCCTTTAAGGTAACCAGCGGCTCCTCAACCCACGCATTCCTGTGTGGCTTTGGAGAGAATGGGTATAACAGTTTCCTCAGGGATCAGCTGTCGGCTCAGGGGACCCATTCAGGATGCCCTGCAGGAGGGAGAGCCCGAGGCTAGCTTGGAACTAGGATGCTGTCAGGGCCTGAGGTCCCCCAAGCTGAGCAGCAGAGAATGCCCTCTGCTGGCACCCTTTCTGTTTAAGATTTATTTTATGTATGAGTACATACACCTGCACACCAGAAGAGGGCATCAGATCCCAGGACAGATGGTTGTGAGCCACCATGTGGTTGCTGGGAACTGAACTCAGGACCTCTGGATGCTATTAACCACTGAGCCATCTCCCCAGTCCCCCCTCTGCTGGCATTTTGAAGGTACAGCGTTGGCTCTGGGACCACTACTGTGCCCACCCTTCCTAGTGTTCAGCACCTGGGGAACCTGGGGCTCCTGAGGAATCCAGAATGCACAGGAGGCCTGGGGTGGAAGGCAGGGCATGAGTTGCAAACACTGAAAAGAGGCAGAGCTGGCTGAGCTGCAAGGACAAGAGATGAGCCCCTCTGTTGCCAGGGCTGAGTGAGATGAAGGTTGTCATCATGGGGACCAGGAGGCAACAGGCTCCAGAGGCAGGTTATCTCCACAGCAAGGGTGTGTGCCACCATGATGCCCAAGATAGCGTGAGTCATGACTGGGGTTTTTGAGGTGTCTGTCAAGATAGTCTTGGAACGGTACCTTGGCAGGATAACTGTGGTGACCCACAGTGATGGAGTCTGCACAGGCTAGACAAGGCAGGGCCTCTGTGCTCTCCGGACATTCATACCCTCGTGTGATCAGCTTCCAGCGGGGGCAACGTTAGGACTATGGCTTCAGCTACTATGCGAAGGAGGGGTGACTTGCGCAAATAGGGCCTGAGGTGACAGCAGCATGAACTGTGGTTCTCTTGTATTAGACCATCCCTTGGCTTGTCTGTGAGGCCCCCAGGCAAGCAGGGGTTGGGGTGAGGTTGCAGGGCTGGAGAGTTGGGCTCCCCACTTCTGTGGCCCTCTCTTCCTGCCAGGTAAGCGACCTACGCAATCAGATCTTCCCAGAGGATGGGCTGGGCCCATTCCCAGGTGAGGGTCGTGTGGTGGGCCGCAAAATGCGCAAGGCCACGGACAGGGTGGAGGATCCTACAGGTAAGCTGGGCCCCGAGGGTGGCTTAGGGGCTGGGCAGAACAAGCTCCAGGTAGCCTCCACCAGCACCGAGAGTCCCTCCTGGGCCAAGGCTCCCAATGCCCTCCCCGCAGGCTCCCGGATGACTGCTGAGAAATTTCTGAACAGGCTTCCCAAGTGTGTAATCCGACAAGGCGAGGTGATTGACATCCGGGGCCCCATCAGGGACACTTTGCAGGTGAGGCCAGCCCTCATTACCCAGCCTTCTCCAGGAACTGTGTCATCAACCCTGGCTCAGCCTACAGTCTCTTGCTAGGAGGCTCAGGCCTTTAGGCCCCAGGTAAAGACCAGGATGGCAAGGAGACCCTCAGAATTGTATCGTGTCTCTGTGGAGCTGGTGAGGACTCTGCAGTGCCCCACAGGGCAGCTGGGTTTGCTACAGCTGACAGGGTGGGATAATGAGCTCAAGGCCCAGGTCATGTCCTTGGGGAGCTTGGCCTAGGCGCTCCTTGCTGATTGTCCCGAAGGCCTTTCAGATGCTCAGAGTTCATTATCTTGTCTCACCTCCCAGTCTTCCTTCCCAAGTCTCCACCCAAAAAAGGGGTGCTGAGCCTCACGCCCCTGGATCCCAGTCTCCTTTGCCCATGTTACTTTGTCCAGTCTGGCCAACCCTTGAGCTCCTTCCTGCGGCCCACCACCTGAGTCTCACAGACGCCCTTGTTGTGCTGGCTTTCCCACCTCACTTCTGTTCCTGCTAGCCATATGCCCTCAGCAGCCTTCTCTGCAGGAACTGTCTGGGGATTCTTGGGAGAAAGCCAAGGTCACTATGCTGGCACTGAGGGTCCGTTTTGTATCACTGCACTCTCCATCCCTAACTTTTCCTCTCTGCCTGCCTGCCTCGGTTCCTTGCTTTAAGAGCTATAAACTGCTGGCAGCTTCCCAGCCGTCCCCTCCTGTCAGATTCCTGCTGGTCAGGGTTGCTGTGCTGTGGGGAGCATCCTGGCCCCTGTTCCATTTCAGATGACTGCAGTGCATGCTTCAGTCTCAGCTTAGGTGTCTGCCCTGACTGGCTAGGTTAGGTCCCCACGCCTGGCCACCAACTGGGTGGGTCTGTCTCCCACACTGGACTGGGAGAATGGTGACATTGCCTTCTAGAGCCCCAGTTTACACAGAATACCCCAGATCTCTGGCTCAGTGGGCTCCTCCATCCCTGCTCAAGAATGAGCCAGTCTTGTCTAAGGGTGGAGGGAACGGTGGGAGAGGGACCTAGGCTCCAGCCACTCTCCGTGGCTGCCTTCCAGAACTGCTGCCCATTGCCTGGCCGGATCCAGGAGACCATAGTGGAGACACCTGCCTTGACTTCTGAGCGGCGGAGGTGAGGGCTGAGCGGCGGAGGTGAGGGCTGGGCCGAGAGGAAAGGAACAGGGAGCACTGAGGGGCTCGACCTACAGGAGCCTGGAGTCACCCAGCATGCCTGTGCCTCTGCACACCATGCTGCGCATCAAATCTGAGAACGGGGAGCAGGCCTTCCTACTGATGATGCAGCCCGAGGACACTGTTGGCGATGTGCGCAAGCTCTTAGCAAAGGCCAGGTGGGTCCAGGGCAGGGCTGGGGGCTGCAGAGTCCCTGGCCCCCTGGCCTGGCCTGATGTACTCTGCTGGGCACCCAGGGGCATGGATTTGGCCACCTTTGAGATCTTCAGCACCTTCCCACCCACGGTCTACAAGGATGACACAGTCACACTGAAGGCCGCAGGCCTGGCTCCCAGCGCAACGCTGCTGTTACGGGCTCCAAGAGTAAAAGCCTCCCTGTCCAACCCTGGCCCTGGCCCCCACCCTGGCCCAGGCTCACAGTCCTGAATAAAGTGCCGCCCCTGACATTATGAGCGCCGCAAGGCTCTCTAGACAGGGCTGTCTTGAGGGGGAGGCTGAGCTGGGGGGAGGGGTAGTATAGCCACTCAGGCCTGTAACTGGAGCCCCAGCTGGCGGAGCCACTTACTCTTTGTCCCCTGAGTTCCTTTTCTCCCAAGTTGTGCTAAGTGGATCCAATGGAGGGAGTGGCCGGCCCTAGCTGGGTGGACATTCTCTGTCTCAGCTGGGGCAGGGGAGCCTCACTGGGGGTGAGGCTCTGAAGACAGCCAGATGTGTGTAGATCCACAAGCTCATGTAGATAATTTTCCATACTGTGCATAAAACCACTGCCACAACCACCCCCAAACACTCAATCTAATACAACTGCAGCTGTACGCGCCCCCATAACCTACCCACACTGAACCAGTCCGCTTCAACACGGGGGAGCCCTGGGCGTAGCCGCCCTCAATGTCAAGCAGCCAGCCAGCCAGAACCTGCATGAGAAACAGGGTCACTTAGCCACCATATCCAGAAACTTCATGTCCGCCATGGTCACGTGCTAACGGACAGAGTCAAACATGCTACACACACACACACACACACACACACACACACACACACACACACACA